TCCACTCTACCACGACACCCAATACCTAGTTCCAACTTCATAGCAGAGAGGGGAATCGATGCGAGAACCAACAGCGCAAGTAGGAAAGCAGTGCTACACGCTGACCCGAGATGGCGCTAGAGGGAAAGCCGGAATTATTGCTTCTCGTACGGTATGGCTTTACACTGGTATTTAGATTTCTCAGTTCCATCTGCTTATCTTCCAAATACAGGACCAAATTAGTGTAGTACTCGGTGTTGTTATTGAGGTTTTATTTTATAGCTGGCTAGACTAAAATGTTTTTGTATCTTTTCATGTAAAAACACATTAATTATGTAGTGATTTTTATTGCATGTATTTCTTTGGAGATCTATGTCATCTCTTTTGTCGTTACCTTTTTATCGTTATTTGCTAAGATCCTGCTTAGAATAAATCTTCTTGTTCATTCTTGCGTGTAGAGGCCAATGACAAATCCAGATTGTGTTAAACAAAGGAGGCGCAGCCCACCAAAATGTATACATACCGGGATTTTATTTCTTCTAGGGGCTTTTAAATGGGAGGGGGCGGAGAGTAGGGGGAGTGTATATGAAATGATGACACTATGCTAGTGAGTGGTAGATGAATTGGAGGCACAATAGCCTATGTATACATGTATGGCTATAAACACAATGTTAACCATATGGAAAAAGTGTTGTGTTTATTCAGGGTATGCTTTACTACCCCCACGTTATACATGTAGATTATCTCCTTTAACAAATATGCCATTAAAAATTAATCATGTAGTATATTCATTGTCATACAAGAATTATTTTTCTTCTAAATATTCTTCAGTTTATAATGTCATTTTTTTTAAAGAGGAATGGTATTTCTACATACACGTTGATAAAGCACAGCGCTGTCATGGAAAATATGCCTCAAACCTCAGACCGTGTAATGTTTTAGAAGAAAAATAATACGCATGTATTAATTATGGTGTTTGTAAATTATCAGATTCTGTAAAGGGTACTATGTATATTTTGCTGACTCGAGCAAGATTTGGGTAATGCTAAAAACGCCGACAAGAGACAATAACCATATTGTATACTATTTTATTGGCGCTTCTATTGCGCTTCTATCGTTTTTTTTAAAATAATAATGACCCCTCGCGCATCTTAACAAATCACACTGCCTTGAAGTTGAGATTACATTCTATGCAGGGATGGATCTACGGGGCGGGGGAGGGGGTGTTAGGGGTTTAACCCCCCCCCCTCCCCTTGGGCTGCCAAGTGAAAATGTGATGTGCATAGAAAAACGCCATCATTGTGTCCAGACCCACACAGTATTAGTAGATGTTAATAGATGCCAGAAAAACATCACCTACGGGGGTTCAAAATAGCACCCCAAAAAGCGGCTCGTGGATGATGCTCCGCATCGTCCTTTGGTCAACCCCCCCCCCCTTGGCAAAAAGCTAGATCCGCCCCTGCTTTGTATGCGATGTTATGTCATCTTGATGACTTCGTTACCTATGCTTTCTTAACATGTGCTGGTAATCTATTGCAGCCATATGCCATTGTATACAGTTTTTATTAAGCAGACCATCGTCAGATCTTTTTTTTTTTTAAACAGTTTTGTAATATATTTAAATACGATCGCAAAGACTCTCAAGAACTCAAGACGTCAAAGGCAATTCGCATTACCCTTGTTTTTATTTTAGTGAAATCAGACCCGGATGATGGAAGATGTAATTGTATTGTTCACACATTATTTTCAAGAGATAAGAAACGATTAGTTTCTATAAATTTCCTTAATTTGAGTTTTTGAAAGTTCTCGCGATCTTATCCTTAACATTTATTTGACAAATGTGCAATAAGAAAGTCTACATCGTTCAGAGTTTGGCTACATATCAGATTGCCATTAGTAGCGGCACTGATTATTGCAATATTTCTACTTTGTTAATATTATATTGGGTCACAGTCATTAATACTCTAATGGTATATATACATCTTATTCTTAATATTCTCTCTACTATTTAATCTGTACTTGCTTAATTTTCAATGTTTCTTTTTAATACTTAGTTTTACATTTTGGTGTCGAAAATGCTATTTTGTGAGATACATATTATGTTTACATTAATGACCATGTTTACATAAATCTGTGATTTGTGAAATCTACAATATGTAATATGGTTCATGTATTTTTAAACCGTTAATATAACCAGGGGCTTGGCAGGAGGGGGCAAGGTCATTCATACTGAACTTTCCCCAAAATATTGGAGGAGGGAGGGGTAATACCCCCACGACGCCCCCGACGTATAAGTATAATCAAGTCAGCATTATTTTATGTCCATCGAAAAACGGTTGTACATTGTCACATTTTAATAATTATAGCAAATAAATACAATTTTATCAAATTAAAATGATAATTGATCATCTTGTTGATTTAATTACGCTTCAATTTTTGTTAACGTACAAACATTTTTCTGTAATAGAATGTGACGTTCCCCGATCTATATGTCTTCTTGTCATCGCCTCAATCACACTTACATTGAAATTTCATTTCTGTTTGCTTACGGTTTGTACTAATGTATTGTTTTGAAATATTCACAATTTTCAGAAAGCATGGGTGTGTGTATGGGTATGTACGTGGATGTGCGCGGGTGTTTGCATGTGTTCGGGTAGGCGGTGGAGGTGGGTGGGGAGGAGGGGGCGGGGGTTTGAAGTGGCAAACAATGCCTGTGATCCCCCTTGGATCTACCCCCCCCCCCACCTCCCCCACAACGCCAGAGGAACCTGGGTATGCCTTTGCGAGATACAAATCCAGACAGGTTTAATGAGCTGGTTAGCCTGCGGTTGTGGAGAAACATCGCCTTTAAATAAAAATAAACGACGACAACAACAAAACGGACAAAAATAACACTAGCCGGTCAATAACAAAATGAACTTTCTATTTTGTTTAATTCTCCCAAGTAATACCGCTTGCTACAGCAGCTAGATTTATAAGTACACAAGAATACAAGACGCATGATTATTGGGATAATAAATTGTTCAAACTAGACCACAATTCTTTATAATGTTCCCCAGTGATCTCAAACATAACAAAATGTAGTTCTGTAATAAAATACTACACATTATTCCATTTACAGTCACATTAAAGACCTTTTTAACATCATAACATAATACGAAATGAATAGAAATATACAATTGTATACACATTGCAATGATGTAATTTGAAATTAACAATTGTATACATACGAAACTAATGTAAATTTGAAAATAACTACATGTATGCATATTCCTTTGATGTAATTTGAAATTCAATGATTTTATACATATTCAATTGATGTAATTTCAAATTATATAATTGTATAGGTATTAAATTAATGAAATTTGAAACACTGAAAATGTAGATTTAAAAAAAATGCATGTATGTTTCGTTGATACCATTCACAAAAATCAGAATTGTAGATTATCATCAGTGATATCCACTTCATACTGGACAATTTTTCTTTTTTGACAACATTTGCGAATTAAGAAAATACACAAAGAACTGCCAAATTACCTAACTGGGGTTCTGTCTGAAGTAAAAAATATAAAAACATTACTCTTAAATACGCCTATATGACTAAAATGTAGTGCATGGTAATTCCATACTGTACAAAATGCAAAACATCCATGATACAAATATTCACCCTGAAAAGATATTAAAAACCACTAAAACCATTTTTACATGATAAAAAACGAATGCCACCTATGAGTACTATACTTTGCTTGTATTACTTTAAGAATAGAATGGTAGACAAAATCCGCGCCATTTGGAGGATCATGAATTTGAGAAATCTGTTATATGGTTATTATAAGTAGATTATGATAACAATAACAATGACAACAATAATAACAAAATATACAATATCAATATAAATAATACTACAAATAAAATACAATACATGTTTCTTAAAAAGCGCTTTACCATTAACTGCTAAAAGTGCTTACAATATAATTGTATCCCGATAAATGGACACAATCACTATTCTAAACAATAACGCACAGATTTCCCCACTCCCGTGAAACATTCCTGCAAGTCGCCTTTTCATTTAAGATAGTGTAATAAGAAAGTAGATTTTGAAACCTTTCTAAGACCACAATATGTGATTTGTATACGAAAAATAATAAGAAGAAAAAAAGCCTCAGATGATAGCACCAAAGAAAAATGACACATACACAATTTCCCTCTTAGAGCAGGGCCCCGTCTTACAAAGAGTTGCGATTGATCCAAATCAAAGACAAGTCCTCCAATCAATCGCAAGTTTGCATTCTAGTATCTCTTAAGTACATAGTTGCGATTGATATCAATCGCAAGCAAGTTGCGGTTAGTATCAACTCTTTATAAGAAGGGACCCAGGATTAACTTTTGATGACTCCTTTCATAACTTAAAGATTTGTTTATTTTTATAGTAAATACATAGGTACATTTTAGTGCTAATGCCACATGAAAAAGATTGCTAAACACGACTAGGATTATTCAAAACATTGTACTCAAATAACCGAATCCAAGCTGTGTGAGTAGTACTATATGTATATTTTCGGTGCAGTGTTGCAACTGTTCCTAATTTTAATTAATATTGGGTCAATTTTCCAAAACTGCACAGTACTCAATAACTCTTCTTTACAACATTTTCAGCCGTTTTCAAATAAATTTCAGACAGTCCCTCTAATCATGTAATTAATTGACAGCTATTCAACTTTATTCTTAATTATGCAAGATGCATTATAAAAATCGAAATCAAATACACGAACCAATGAATTACAATTCCAGGACAATCGGGAAAAATATGATTGCAGGATGATCCTACATTATGCTCCGGTATTTATTGCTCCTAACGTGTTTTTAATCATAATCAAAGATATATGTTAAAGCCACACTGTCCTATTTGTAGCTACTTGCTCCCTCTATATAGAAACAAATGCCTAATCGGTGACCATTGGTCCCCCATGATCCTCTTCTTGAGAGCTGAGTTGATGAGATAACCACCTGTGCAGTGACCTTGCAGGGTGCTCTAATCCCTCAAATAAACTAGTACAGATAAGCTTTAAGAGTTTTACTTGTAAGAGGGTAACAGGTTAGGTTGAGGGCTAGGTTTAGAGTAGGGTATATTGTTTGGTGCAGGATTAAAGTTAGGTACTCAATTAATCCAGGGAATTGGCAACGGAACAACTGCCGCAGGAGTCTGTGTCGCAATACCGAGTGAAGCCCGCGTGTTGGACAAACGTAGAGGGCGTCTCATGAACGAAGCTCAGTTTCATCATCGGGTTGGCGCTCAGCGTCAACTACGTTTCCATGGCCAGGTTTCTTTCACCAGCGATATATGGCGATTCCGCACGGCTAGAGCGAATGGGTTTAGTTTTGTGGAGGTTGTTGCCCTCTTCTAGAGTTTCAGGTAGCGGGCGGTCGAGAGTTTCAGGAAGGAACAAAGCGATGCCTCCGCAAAAGAAGGATGAAATGCCGAAGATAAGAAGTGGACCAGGTTCGTAGATCCTGTTCTATAGGAGGGATAGGAGGGGGAGTGTAAATTTGAAACGAAACGCCAGTTTTACATTAAAAAAAAAAAACTTGTTTAATAACGGCACGATCGCACAAGCTTTCAAGAAATCGACCTTAGGCAAGTTCCAAAAACTTCGCTTACTACTTGTTTAAATGTGGGAATATCACAATGACGCCTCATATAATCTTAACGAGATTAATATAGATACTTCGAAAGAGAACCGAGATGTGACGTCGTACTGGTCAAGCTGGTTCCAAACAATTGCATGCTAAACAGTAAGGTGGTGATCGCATCAGCTAGGCCCTAACACTGAATTTTCCCTGCTCAAGGCCCGTTGTTTGAATGATTTCGCGGTGAATTTCATTCGCAGGCTCTCTTTTTTTAAAACCAGTAGCCTGGAAAGCAAGCGAATAAAACGACAGCACTTCGGTTCTCTGTAGGGTATTTAAATTGCTTAAGTTTGATTTCCTTAAAGTTTTTTTTTTTTTGCGATCGTGTGTAAAGAACAAATCCCATAGCATTATGTTTGCAAGTTCCAAGGAAAGAATTTTTCTCTCGTTTTTGTAGTTGAATGGTTGGTTAACCTTAGTATAATATATTTTACTTCAAATGCATAATTCATCCAGGAAAATATATCCACACAAACGACGTGGTTAAACTTCTTATTTAGAAGGGGATAGAACCCTCTAAGTATTTTGTTTATTAGTTTCCTTCTTCAAACGTAATGCTCGTACAACTCCGTCTAAGACTTAGTTGTTCAGTTCAGATTATAACTTTCACTAATGATGACATAAGAGAGAAGACAAAATAGACGAATAAATTGTGTACAATGAATTAAGGATACTTAGTCGAGTGGATAAGACATCGGGCTGTGTACTTCATGGTTCAAGCCCTACCGCAGCATCAATGTCCTTTGGACATTTGGCAAAATATTAATCTACTATCAACTGGAACACTTGACTTTCAGTGGCTTAGGGTCGCTGGGCTACATCCAGTGTTAAACAGTAGGATGGATATGTGAGCGATTATGAATGTAGTTATATTTGGTTCTTACTAGATAAATAACAAAGGGAGCCATGACACCGCCGACACGGGACCAAAATGAGCATAGACCAAATCCAACATTTCTGGTGAGGAAAGAAAACAAGATGGAGTTTAATAACAAAACAGAGTATATACATAAATCATCCATATCGCGAGTCGTGGTCAAGTGGATAAGTCGTCCCCAAAGGTGTTAAATTGGAACCGATGGGAAGGAATTCCATCAATGCTGTGAGCACCAAAAGTGGTATCCAAACAGAGCCGGGGTAGTATTAAAGCTCCTTGAGCACATCGCATGGTGGTTTGCAATTACCAGTTTTGTAATTGATATCATTGGTATGTCAAACAAGTGATTAACACCTTATTCATTTATCTCTTCATTGTTTAGTCATGTATTCATTTATTTAAATTGTATTTACATGTATATATATATATATATATATATATATATATGATTTTCTTTTCTTTCCTTTCGCTCAAAGGCCTGTCACTTAACTTGGTCATTAATATCATTTTTCACAGCTTTGGTCCGTGTACCCCAAATTCGGTATACTTTATGCGATAAGCATATTGGGTAAATATGACCCAACATTTCCTAGAGAGCAAATAAGTTAGTACCAACAACAACAACAACAACAATGACAACAACGACAAGGCACCAATTGTTTATTCATTTATTCATTAATTTGTTATCTAATTTTCTTTCCTTTTGTTCAAAGGCCTGTTAGTTAACTTGGTCATTCATTTTATTTTTTTACAGTTTTGTTCCATGTACCCCAAATTATGTATACTTTATCCAACAGGCATATTGGGTAAATATTACCCAACTTTTCTTACAGAGCAAATAAGTTAGTACCAACAACAAAAACAACAACAATGACAACAACGACAACAACAGCAACAAATTCATCATTCAAACCACCTACCTGATCGACGTGGGAAAAATCTCGGTTCCGTATACGAAGACGGTGCCGAAACTGCAGGTGATGCCGAGTTTCCCGATCATTGCGAAACTAACAATGACGGGCTGCAAGTTCGTACCATCAGCTGTAATTGAATACAAAACATCGGTCAATAAGTCGCGCCAGAAATGAAATTTTGACAATAAAAGTACGAATGTGTACAAATGAATAAAAACAAAAGACATATAGAGCGAACAACTGTGACGAATAAAATTGGAAAAAAAAAAATCGTCAACAGTTAATAACGGGATCGAGATTTAAGTTAAAGAAAGAAATTCACACGATATGAAAAGTAGGAAAAACACATATTAGATTACTTGGAAGGAACTCAACATTAGAATAACCCTTAATACACAAAAGGGTGTTTTGTTCTGTGGGCTAATGTGCTATAAAGAGAACTGTTACACATTTTATTTCGTATAACAGTTCTTTTCAGAACTCTTGCTGAAAAACAACATGTAGCAGTCCTTGAAGTATCTACATAGTGGTATCGCGATCACCCCTCTCTCTCTTTATGTCTAGGGGGTGTTTCACAAAGATGCTAAGTCAAACTTAACCCATAGTTGGACTTAAACATTATGGAGAGCCATTTACAGCCTTAAAATAGAACATATTTAAAAGCGAAATTCCACATCAAGATAATAGAAAATATGAATGATTTGAAACAACATTTTATGCTTTTTAAAATAACTTTAAAAAAATATTTTCTTAGATGCTAACGGCTTTCCATAATTGTCAAGTCAAACTTAGAAATAAGTTCAACTTAAAATCTTTGTGAAACACCCCCTAGGTATTCCACCGTGCAAATCTACAAAACGTATCTGACATCAAGTCTGTATGCTTACCTGATGTTTCCGGAACATAGGCTGTGATGATGCAAGCGACAGCAGCTACAAAGTTAGATACGACTAGTGTCGGTCGTCTTCCCCATCTAAGACAAGGTGAGAAATTATTATTATAATATTTAAACTAGAACGTCATTTATCAAAGTCATTAACAAAAAATAGCGTAGCTTTTGTGTCTCTGATTTGCATAATGTCCATGCCTGCATGCCCGCCAGAGTAACTGCAAGAGTCTGATAAAACTGAATCATGATTGAAGATCTGTGCCCCCCTTTCTCAATGCGATTTTATGAAGCACACAATTCCTGCTTTATATAAAGGGGATGACCACAGTACAGTGGTACTAAGTTAGCCTTGATTACAGCTAGTAGGAAAACGGGGAGAAACATATCAAAGTTGAGGAAAATCTGATAAGGGTGTGACTATAAGGTTTCTAATGTTGTGATCAATTAAAAAAAAGAATAAAAATGAACCCATTTTCATCTAAGAGCTATTTGTTTTTACTCAAACTTTCAGATTAAAAAAGAGCTATTTCTCCATTTTGAAGTTCTCCAGTTTATGGGGATCACATTGGGAATAATATATATATATATATATATATATATATATATATATATATATATATATATATATATATATATATATAACATGGGAATCAACTTTAAATTTAAGCAACGTGGATGTGTTTAACGGCTATAAGAGTAGTCATAAAATGGCAGAACACATTCTTCAATATTTGTTTCTTGATTGATTCTTAAGTTCTTTTATCACATCGAAACGGGAAAAATTTATCTGTAACAGTTTCGATGTCTCGTGTTCGTTCAGAAATCTTCCTCAGACGCGAATTGGCATCAGATCAAATCAAATCAAATTACTAACATGAAAAGATTGAAACAGAGTACACAGACATATTTCTCTTTTTTACGATTCCCAGAACTCACCCTTCTCTTTGTTTAATGAACTTACTTGACCAGTGTATACATAATGAGAGTGTATGCCGGTATTTCGACAAGACCGAGAAGGAAAAAATTGAGGTATTTATCACCGGCAAGCTCACTGCTGTTCAGAGACAATCCGTAGTACACCAGGCTACACATCAACCTGTTTGGAAGGGCGGGCGGGGGGGGGGGGGGGGGGGGGGGGGGGAAAGGAATAGAGAATGATATCGAAAGGTTAGAAAGTACGGAGTAGAGAAAGAACATCTATATCAATTGGTGCCTAAAAGATGTCCCATTGATGGTAGCGCCTAAAAAATTGAACTGATATTTTGATTGATTTATATCTTTTATACCAAGACAAAAAGAGGGCGTGAACTCTATGTTTTGGCGGGAGTGAATGTACCGTCTTGGTTTATCAGCTTTCCCCGTCATCTTTAAAATTTCTAAAGAATTATTATCACCTAATTATCCCCCAAATGGCTTTTTCAAACATTTATTTTTCTGAAAAATTCGAGCTGACGTTAAATTACGAGAACCCGCTCCCCCCCCCCCCCCATCTCGAAAGAAACAACCACACATGAACCAGCAAATGTGAGAAAATAGCGAAAGATAAGATTTACCATTGACAGAACATATTGACTGAGTTTAAAAACAGCCTTTTCTTTCTGAACAGACCAAACACTGTGGTCAGCGACGATGTCGACGTCGACTTCCTCACGTGATTAACCGCCATCTCGGCGTCGCCTTTCTCCGATTCACCATTCGACATCCCTTCCGTCGACTTCTTCTTGTACGTTTCCTTTTTCATGGCGAAGTCATCGTCCGAATTGGTCAAGACCGGGACATGACCGAGGTTGTTGAATTCCGCTATTTTCTCGACGACTTTTTGCGCATCGCTGGTACGCCCCCGGGACAGGAGCCAGCGCACCGACTCGTGGATTAACCTACACAAAATGAAATGGAATAAATGAAAGTATACATCGATACATTTTATTTCTACTTTCACAAAGAATAAGATCGACTTTAAGTTGTACTTAACTATGGCAGGATGTTCATGCCACTGGTTGCTCTCACTATTAGTCTCTCAATACAATGATCTTTAGATAATATTTTCCCTCAAATAATGAACTGTCAACAAAATACATTCTGTAGACTTGTGACCACGATTTGTACGTCCCTTGAAAAACCAATGCCAGGAATGTTTAGAGGAACTAGTGGCATGAACGGCCTGCCATAGTAAAGTTAAACTTAAAGTCGATCTTAGTCCTTGTGAAACACCCCCATATATCGTTTACTACAATTGTCGGTCTTGTGAGAATAGTGTATAATTAACTTTTGTCAGAAGGCCCAAGAGACGGACAAGATTTATGATTCCGAAAATGACATAGGGTATGTTATGAATTATTTATGTTGCCTTCCTCCAAAGGTCTGTTATTTCAAGGATTTGTTTTACTGAAGATTTGTTTTTTTAATCAGAATACTATCGCTCCAAAAGTGAAGTGAATTTCATTTTTCGAAGGTTCGTAATTCCGTCAAATTCCCTAAAAATAATAAACGATGCTTTTTCATTTTCTAGATTTGATATGAATTTACGCAATTTCAAATCTTCGGAGTAAGGAGCCTTCGGATTTATGAACATTCGGAAAATCGAAACTATCTAAACATTGACACTTTCGAAAAACATGATAATTCGGATTATGAACTTTCGGATCTAGGAACCTTCGGAATTATGTACCGAAATAAAAAGGACATGTAAAAATGGTAGATACCACAGTTCCCTCCACCCCCCTCCGCTCCGAATTACGAACGTTTCCAAAACCGGCATGTAACTTACAACAATAATGGACCTTACCAGTAATAGAATATTGCCAGGAAGCATGGTATGGAGATGGCAATCTGCATCCAGCGCCAGTCTTTTAGGAGCCACGCGATTGGAGCGAGGAGGGTGACGCCCAAGCCCCATGAAATATTGTTGATGCACGCTGCCAGGGTGCGCTTCTTGGGTGTGAACATCTCCACGACGAGCACGTACTCGACGATGTTGATACCCTGATTGAGAAAGAGCGGAGAATGTCAATAAACTCTCTATATTATACTCAATTGGATCTTTTTTTTATCAGTGCTACGTGAACTATTATTGGAGGTGTCGTGGTATGTGGAGATGTCGTGGTATAGTGGTTCATTTACTTGACTCTCAATTCAAGGTTGACGGTTCGAATCCTAGCCCGGGATTAACGTCATTTGACAAGACATTAATCCACGAAATTGCCACTCTACACCCAGGGCTTTTGCTGAGGTAATAATAATTGCAGGGCCCTCAATTATTATTATTATTATTATTGGATCACTTGAGATGCTGAACTGATCTATTTGTGAATGAGAAAAGAGTAGGGACTAAACTAAACAGGGAACGCCTTTCTCTGATGGGGAAACTGGCGAGTGCGCATCACCCAATTCCAAAGTACGGGAGGGGCAAGGCCCGTCCCCGGATAAGACTGAATTGTTCATGTTCCTCTGTTCCTCTAGGGAAACAGAATTTGATATTCAATGAGTTGTACATGGTAAGTTTTTTTCTTTTAACATAAAATATTTACACTTTTTGTTAGGCCCTCCCCTTCCTCAAACGTTGGATATATTAAGAATTTTGTCGATAAAGAGCAAGATACCACTTAAATCTGAGCTGCCGTGATTTTTTACTTTGAAGGGGAATAACAAAAAACACGTGAGGGGTCAGAATTACTTCACGAACCTTGCCTGACACACTCAAAATCTCATTCTAAAACTAGCCCTAAATATACTCACATTCTCAAACATACCCACAAGAAACCAGACGGAGACGAAAGCGTAGTAGTTGTAGAGGAAAGCGACAACCAGTCCACATATTCCTTCTCCGATGAAGGACACGATCAAAACGGTTTTTCGTCCATATATGTCCGATAGCTGCCCCGCACCGAACGCCCCTACCATCACCCCTGCAAAGTAAACGGATTGTGCCGTTGAGGGCCAGATGTCTCGATCGCACACGAGGTTCATCTGTAGAAGACATTCAAACAAATTTGGTTTATAATAAGAAAGAAAAAAAATTGGAAGAAAAAACCCCCCAAAAAGAAACGGTCACCCATTGGAGAACTGACTTTGAAAATATAGAGTAACATTGTTTTGATGAATTAAGCTAGAAACATCAGAATTACGAATCGAATATGAATCGAAAAAGGGCTACTTGTTAGAATACTCCACAGGGAGTGAAGAGTGTGCTCTCTAAAGTGCATAATCACAAGAAAATCCAGTGAACGGGGTAATAATATTGTAAGCACTTGGTTCGGTTAATGGTAAATGGCTTTGTAAAAAACACGTATTATTTATATATAATCATCGTCGTTTTTAATATCATTATTATTATCATTATTAATAATAATGTTAATATTGTTGTTGTTATTAATACTTTTTATCATCATTATCATCATCAATATTATTATTGTTGTTGTTGTCGTTATTATTACTTTTATCATTATCATCATCATCATTATTATCATTCACGAACTGATACCTCGATAACTGCCGTTGACTCCTCGGGGTAGATGGTGTAATATTCCCATCCATTCTGACATCCAACTATCTGAGTCTGATCCGTTATCATCTCCCCCTCTTTGACGTCATACATCAGACAGTTCTCGTAGCTCTCGACGCCGAATCTGACAGCGCCATCATCGGTCTCGTTCTGGAGCACCAGCGACTGGTTAGGAAAAGTGTTTGGTGCAGGGTTGCAGTGGTAGTATTCCGGCGTGGCCAAGGTAAAAGCCTGGCCAGAGGTTTCCGGCAAGAAAGTACAGAGACAAAGACCAACTTGTGAATGAACATACTGTTAATGATGTAGTGTACAATGCACATAATTTGTCACTGAATGCTACAAAACTTTAGCTGAGAGGCATAAACCTCCCGAATGTAACTGAAAGAAAAGTTTAATTAATTTCAGTAAATTTGTGTAGCTAACGTACACACGGCTGTAAAGATTTTCGACAAATAAACCTGAATAGCAATGCTCATTTGCTAATGAAACAGTACCAAGATATTGCTTTTCGACTATTTATTGGAAGTTCTTGCAATCCAGTCATTTATTTATTTTGATTATTATGAACATCACTTAGTTGGGGGAGGGGGAGGACAAACGGTCATTGAACAAACTCTGTATAAACATTGTTATACTCCAAGCAAGTTTTTTAGAGTCACTGTTGAACATTTTTTGTTTAGGGCGGGGGGGGGGGGGTGCTCATACATGTACGTTTACTTTTACTTTGCCTTTTGTTCTTGCCAGGGGGTAATTAGAGTTCCACCCGTCTTTAATCCAGAATACAGGATTCTTCCCTTATCACCATCAACATCACCACCACCACCACAACATCAATTATCACCATCATAACCCCCAACATATAACCATCGCCACAAACCCCATCACCACTACCATACCCACCCCCACCACCACCACCATCTCTACCATCACAATCATCAACGCTGTGATCCATCATTACCACCATCACCGTGCCAACACCGCCAACAAGATCATCACCACAAGCCCCACCAGCACCCCATCACTAACACCCTGGCACTACCATCACCACCAGCACCATCACTACCACCACCACCACCACAATGATGAGGACCACCACCACATTACCAACACTACCACCAACAGTACCACCGTCACCACTACCACTACCACCGTCACATTCATCATCACCACTACCACTACCATCCGACACCAACACGATCATCACCATCACCACCACTACCACCACCATCACCACCACCACCATTTACTGCTTACCCCTGAGAATATCTGCCAGGCAGGGAACCATGTTCCTGATACAGTGATGAGGATGAAAGCCAGAGTCTGGTATTTACCCCAGTCTTTAAGCTCGTGCAAAACATCATCCAACTCCATCCTGATACTCTAAATCGCCAAAACAGCGTCGTCTCTGAAAAAAATGAATGGTGATAAAGGAGTATGAAAGCCTATACTTGAGTTTTGGCTACCCGGTGGTATATTGTGTTTTAAACTGCAACGATGCAGGTGGAAACTGATGCAAGTGACTTTTTTCATCTCTGTCTCCATTACGATTTTTACTTTGACACGACCACCTTTTCTTTTCTCACTGTCCTTTCCCCTTTTGATTAGTGCCTACTTTTCCTTTCTCCATAACATGAGACCCTAGTTCAAGGAGATTTAGAGCCCCCTTTTCTCTATAATTGTCCCTATTGCATTTATAGATGTTATAATAATGTTACTTATAAAGTACGTTTTAATCTTTCTTCATTAGATTGTTTTTTGTCTTCTTTATAAGGTATAATTTTTTGCACTGGAATCTCACAAATCTTAACATTTGACACACGCACTTGGCCAAGGCCAACGACATTGATTTTATGTTGGTTGATTTTGATAACTCCAAATTATGATGAATCAATCTGTGTGAAACCCGCCTTCTCAGTTTGTAGCGGAAATGCGGGTGTCTGCAAATGATTATTTTATAAACAGATGATCACTTTATCTTTGAAATAATAAGTAATCTTCTTTGTAATAAGTAATCTTTCTGGTAATCATGATAATTTTCAAAGGAAAAAAGGAGTTCAGTATTCATTCCGAATTTCTCTCTTAAATGAAGTATGACACTAGAAGGGAATACAAAACTATATTGTCTATTGTCTAGAGGTACTGGACTAATGAATACCTAGAAAACATTGTTTTATATCAATGTATACAATTATCGCCATGTTTTTCTCGTTGAACTTCTAAGAATCATTTTGCAATTTGCCTTACAAACTAAATTTGTACCGAATTTATTTTGTTACAAAATGAGCTAAAAACAATTATTTTGGTGAAAATTTTTTTGTAACAAAATAAATTTATGAAAATGATTTGTACCGAATTCATTGTATTTATGATTTGTACCGAATTCACATCATTTGTACCGAATCCATTTTGTTACAATATTTGTACCTGCGAATTCATTTTGTTACTAAATGATTTGTACCGAATTCATTTTGTTACTAAATGATTTGTACCGAATTCATTTTGTTACTAAATGATTTGTACCGAATTCATTTTGTTACTAAATGATTTGTACAGAATTCAATTTGTTACAACATCATTTGTACCGAATCCATTTTGTTACAAAATTTGTACCGAATTCATTTATGTTACTAAATGATTTGTACCGTATTCATTTAGTTACAAAATCTTTTTGTACCGAAGTCATTTTGTTACAAAATGATTTGTACTGAATCCATTTTGTTACAAAATTTGTACCGAATTCATTTTGTTACAAAATGACTTTGAACCGAATTTATTTTGTTACAAAATGATTTGTAACCGAATTTATTTTGTTACAAAATGATTTGTACCGAATTCATTTTTCACAAAATGTCTTGAGACGCCAAATGTTTCCTTGGTTTTTCGGTATAAAATCACCTCATTTAGTCACAGAATACACTAAAAACTGCTTTTTAACACAATTACAAATTTTGTAACAAAATGAGGTGATTAATTATACCGAAAAACTAGGGTAACACTTGGCGCCCCATAGTAGCCAGTACACTAGCTAGCTAGCTAGCTAGCTAGCGCGCGGTCGATTGCTGGTTTTCGAAATTGCTATTGCTGGTCAACGTCAACATGAAGTGTTGTATGCATGTCGTATGTGCTCCGCAGCAGTCAAATTTGACGGCTTTTTCTCTCTGTTCTTGGGTAAAATTTCGAGAATGTGCTGAGAGATGGAAACGTCTATCTAGCGGTTATTCAGATAAGGCTAAGAAGTTTTGGTCAGCTCTTGATCTAGCTGAAAACCAGACTCTGAACAAATTTAATGACATCAAGTTGCGATATGGCTACCACCGCAAATGCTACCAGCGATTCACCGATGTTTCGTTGCTGACAGCAGCCGAAACATTGCTACAACAGCAGCAAGCCTCTAGTTCTACTTCTGCCCAATCTCTCCAAAGTTCCAGTCGAGATGAAGAAGAAGGTTAGCAACAAGATGGATATGTATTTTCAGTTTCATATAGAATTGATCTCGAAAACTAAATTCGGGCGCAGGCTCGGAGCTCGGCCTCTACTACTAACTCCAGGGAGCTCCGCCGCCCAAAACGCAGGCGGCGTAGCTCCCTGGAGTTAGGCCTCTTCCAACTGGTAGTGCGTTGCAGTGCAGTGCAGTGGCACGGCACGGCATCTCAATTGCCTGTTAAATGTTAACAATAATGTAATGTATTACTACTATTTAGGGCTTAATCATGAAGGCCTTTGGCTAATCAGTAATCACTAAATGACTAATCACTGTACATGACCATCATGTTGTACACAAACAATGTGTATAGGGCAGCTACATGTTAAAAGCAAGTGATGATATACATCTTGTGTCTTGTGTGTGCATGTTTTGTGCCTAAATGTTATTTTTTACAGACGTGTATCAATCAGATGACATAATGAGATATTTTTATTTACGTCTGACGTCTGGGGACCGGCTTTTAAATAATTTAACATCACCATCAAAAGACAAGATTCAGTCTAACCAGGCTCCGCTGAGTCCGTTTGCAAATTTGCTATTAATTTTGCGTCTATTGAATATTGGATTCAAACAGTACACCATACGATAAATAGGCATGATTGCTAAAAGTGACATCGCATGCACGAAGACAATAAAACAAATCTTACACATCAAGGCAAGGAAGAGCAGGTTAAACTTTAAAGTGCTCTCGATATCTGATAGAGAATGATCAACACAATTTGTTTGTCTGATTTAAATGAAATGTTTCAGTAAAACTAAAACAACTGTGACTGCACACAGATTTTCATTTGAAATAAATGATTTGATATTAGTTTGAAAAATATTAGCCGGGCATTTATGTTTGGGAATTTAACTCTTAATTTTGTTTTCCCTTTATTTGTTCCCATATAATTCATAGGTGACCAACAAGAGGCCACAGAAGAACCACCAGCAAAGCGTCTCCAGGTGCCAGAGTTACCGAGGGAATGCTGCCTATGCCACTCAAACCGATATTGCCGGGAAAGGCTTTCAGGCAAGAGGATGAGAGAGAGACTTGTCGCCTGTCAGAAGCTAGAAACCAGCAGTTTATTAAAGAAGGCAGCAAAGATGACTGGTAATTTCTTTTGACAAATTTCTTCATTTACTCAAAACTGAAAAGTGATTCTAAATTTCAAATAGTACGTCCATGTAACTGTTCTAATGGTAATAAAAGTTAGATGACTGAAAACAAATTCAGTACCACATTGGATAGTTCATAGGTTATTTTCTTTAAGCTTTGACTGTGTTTACATATATGATTTGTAATGACTAGTATAATTCCACACTTTCCTAGTTTTCTGTCTAATATTTGTACCATTGATTCATAAGTTCAACTTTGTAAAAGAGAAATTGAAATAAAATCTGTTGCATAGACTTTTTTCAATACAGTTTGGAATAAAATCAAAGTGAGACATTATTAACAGCTTTGGAGAGATATTGATATTTATCCATGAACTTAATTCTTATTTTTATCCATGAACCTAATTTTGTTGTTGTATTTTCCATTCCCCCCTCTTTTCCTTTCACTATTTTCTTGTTCAAACTGTAGGTAATCGAGCATTATTTCTCCAGATCCAGGGCAAGGACTTAGTTGCATCTAAGGCCCACTACCATGCCACCTGTTACAGGGAAGCAACTAGAATCTTCAGAAAAAGACCCAGAGAGGAGGAGAACCCAGAAGAAGCTGCATATCACATCAGTTATGAAGTATTTTGTAGAGATGTAATTGACGGGAGGATAATTGACAAGAAAGAAATCCTTAGAATGACAACATTATCAGTGATGTTTGTTCAGTGTGTACAGAAAAATCAGGGATTAGATGCTTCTTCCTACAGACCAGACACTCTAAAGAAGAGGTTGCGAAAGTCATACCCTCAACTGCAGTTTGTCAAAGCGTATCTCAGCCTGGAGAGTGAGCTGGTGATGGTTCACACCATTCCAGTACCGGATATCAAAGACTCTTCTAAAGTGCAAGAGATATTCACCTCAAGCGAAAGTGAAGATATGGACACTGAAAATGAGACGAATTTGAGTGCAACTCCATCAGCACATAAACTACATGTAGGGGATATGTATTTCACAGCACGCAGCCTGAGGGAGGAGTGCATGGCTGTTGATGCATCCCAAACATGGCCACCAACCGGAAGGGATTTGTCTCTAAATGTTGCTAGGGACAAAGTACCAGTTAGGATATATAACTTCATAGCATGGATGATCGGAGCCTCAGATGAGCCAGTTGGGGACAGGCGAGTTAATGTACTGGACCACTTTGACAGACGGATCCTGTCCTTGGCACAAGATATCATCTGTGCTACAAAACAAGCAAAGAAGCACCTACCATAACAGTCAGTGTGCCCTGGCGATGACAGTACGAGTACGACACACCACTGGCTCTGCAAAACTCATCAATCTACTCAATGGCTATAGACACACAACCTCACACAGGTCAGTCCTAGAACATGACACAGCTCTAGCTGAGAGCGAGATTAAAGCCTATCCGCACTAGTTTGGCGTGGTCACTTACAGGTGGTTATCTCATCAAATCAGCTCTCAATTAACGTTAAAAAAGGGGACCATGGGGGACCAACGGGTACCACTTAGGTATTGTTTGCTATATAGAGGCGCAAGTAGCTACAAGTAGTGCAGTCCCACTTTAAGAAATCATCACTTGTTCTACATAACATTCATAAGAGTGGGTACCGCTTAGGCATTGTTTGCTAAATAGAGGGCGCAAGTAGCTACAAGTAGTGCAAACCCGCTTTAAGAAATCATCACTCGTTTCCACATAACATTCATAAGATCAAATTTACTACTGTTGTGTGGGATAACATTGACTTTGGCGAAGATACGCTCTCGGGCAAAGGGACCATGCACGGAACAAACGGCTTCATCGTGTAGAAGTCAGTTGACGACAATGCCGACGCTCGCCCTCGACCTACAGGTACATGAACTATGGAGAAGACAAGGTAGCGATCCTTGCAACCCCCATTCCCTAACCTAGCAACACATTATGGAGGACAGAGAGGGGGGGGGGGGGGGAGTGTCATCATTTGGTGATAATCTGGGAATCCAGGATTACCAAAGAGTGTAGAGTTATTGAAATATGCTAAGAAGTAAATACAGTAAAACCTGCTTTAGTGACCACCTGTCTTCAAAGACCACATTTGTTGTTTCCCTTGAAAATAGCTTCTCATTGAAACATGTACTAAAGGAACCTGTCTACAAAGACCACTTGTTGTGTTTCCCTTGGGCGGTCGCTATAAACAGGTTTGACTGTATCATGTTGTGTCGTTTAGTAAATGATATCAAGCATTTAATTTTTTACAATCGAGGGTTTTGTTTTCATGTGCAAATTATCGTATTGTGACATAAAGAAATTCCCTCTTTGTTATAATTGGAACTGCAACCAATTATTTGTGTGTACATATAGATTTATATGGACATGATCTCGATACCCATATTTTGTTCATATTGACGATGTTTCATAATGTAAGTACAATAATATGTACGTAATGTAATAAATATTTGTTTACATGAACCAATGAATCTTTATTTATTTTCAGTGATGCAATCCATATAGGTGTGGAGAGTGTAAAGAAGCTTGTTTTGGTTTTGGTTGAAACAAAATATAGTAATTGCATTTTGAGATTTTCAGTTAGAACAAGTCTGGTTTAAGCAAATTATACAGAAATATGTTTTTGAAGGCGTTTGTTCGTGCAAGCATAGGTGCATGTGTGTGTGTACCTGTTTTTTAATGAAAATGGCAATCCTACCCTGGTCATAAGTTCTTTTGTATGAAAGCAGAAAAACATAGGAGAAACAGAATAATACAAGTTTGAAATATATTGAACCCATAATAAGGAAGTCTTTTTTGTGTGGGGGAGGGGGTGGGTAGTCCGATTTCATTTAAACTTTCACCATTTTCTTTTCTTTGGTTTTTCTGCTTTCATACAAAAAAGAGTATGTATCAATGTTGACTTTTACTTTAATGTAGACTTGGCTAACTCTTCAAAAATTCTACTTGGGAGTTTAAATCAAAGTGGTCGATCAAAGGATTTATAAGGTACTTGGTGAAGTGTGTGTGTTGGGAGCGGGGCGCCTGGGGTAATTTATATCTTCTGGGAGACATGAAAATAAATTGGGGTAAGCACTTTTTTAAAGCTCAACAGGGGGGGGGGGGGGGAGTGAACACTACATTTGTTCCGTCTTCATCCACCCTAACAACAACAACAAGAGGGGGGGGGGGCACAGATATAGGGTGTCTTTAAAATTCGGAAACACCCCTCTTTTGCCAGGGGGGGGGGGGGGGTTGAATACGCCAATGACAATTACACATTCATTCATTACATTACGCACATTTATTTTGTGGGGCCTTGAACAGGGATAATGACGTCATAAAACAAAACCAGGACGTTTTCAGTGTCTCGTCCCACGGCCTAAAAAACAGAAAACGCGAAACTCTGCCAAATTGCACATGACCTTTTCCTTGGGGTTACAAGAAGTCGGGGACAACTTGATGGCACCTAACCACGATTTATGTTCTCGGAACGGATCTGACATTTGCTGGTAGCTTTTATACGTAATACGTGACGTAAATAATCATGGTATAATAATAAGTTAATATTGATGAGGAAAAATAACTTTTTGTAGATATCAAAGAAGACAAGTCAAAAGTTCAAAAGACAAGGATAGTAAAACCATAATCCACATTGACCCGGCCCATATACCGAAACAAATTGTATTAGAATATAAAGAAATCTAAATATTTAGCGAACCCACACAAAATAGCGGTTAAGGGCAGCAAACTAAGAATGTGGGAGTGTAATTATGCGCCTCAGCGGACTTAGAAGTTTGAAATCAATTAAAAGTGGGAGCCGCAATAGTACAATTTATATTCGGGGTCACCAACTGTAAGGACCGCTATTTATAATACGAGAAGAGGGTCGCTATTCATGAATCCATTCATTTATGAATAGCGACCCTCTACGACAGTATTTTAAATAGGGACCCCCTATGACAAATGACTCTGATTTTGTATTATGAATAGCGACCCTCTTCTTCCATTATGAACAGCGATCCTGACGAATAATGACCCTTTTCTCAAAATATGAATAGCGGTCCTAATGAAAAGTGGTCCTTACGAATGGCGGTCTTTATGAATAGCGAGCGGACCCCCCTCCCCCCCCCCCCCCCAGGCATGTGCCTTGGACGAAATAAAGGCCGAATAATCATTGCCGCTCGGCTATATTGTGGAGCATCAGTCTGAACGCTAAAGTCTAAACCGACGTTCCTCCAGAAACAAGCAAGAAGGGTGAGTTCTGGGGAGAGGTGAACACTAATTTGTGAACGTTATTATTGTTATGTCATAAGTCTGGAAGAACATCAGACAAAAAAAATGTTCCCTGAAAAGCTTGGCTCTTCAATTGCCTTCATATTCTAAATATGACAAGTAACAACTAAAAAATGAGGCCCAATTTGTATGTCTCATGTTTGTGTAGTCCCATATCTTTCTGTGTACAGTGCTTGTTACTTAATACCAAGACTGTGTCGAATATCTTATCATTATGATGAGTCCAGAACCTTGAAGCACACACCAATTAATAATTCAATTCTATACATGATCATTTTTTTCTGATCGATTCCACATCGTTTCTTTCACGATTCAATCGCATGACCAGAACTCAACTTTATCTTTAAAGCTGCTCAACGGTTGTTTTGAGTATTTAATTGTGTATTCGGCCTACGTTTGCTTCTCATGTTTGCTCCCATTGATTTCTACCTTCAATTCAATGACAGAAATCTTATTGATATGGGGCACACGCAGCGAGTGATGTCAGTACCCTTCTGACAAGAAAGGATTAATTTGTAGGTGCCTTTTGGGTAAATAATTTAAAACAACGAGGGGGAGGGGGGGGGGGGGGGCGGGTCAGCATTTCCGTGCGAAAGGTGTCCCACTTTGGTTTTACATCCTTATCTGAATTTAACCTATATTTACATTTTTAGGCAGCATCGAAATGAAACCAATCAAAGACGGCCAGATCAACCAGAAAAAAATGAAAAGGAAAGAGAAGTAGGATATTGTGAAATGCAAAGCAAAACTACCGTGAACTTATCCTTTCCTCCCATTAAAGTGCCTTCTTACGTTGGGGGCAGTACTCGAAAGATATTATGGATAGCATATTAAATAAATATTGGTCCTGCAGAAATGAAAGACCATCCCGGGTCACTCAAGACTTTGACTCAAGTTTACCGCCACTTCATCACAGAGACAATACAGATTCGGCCAATTTGGAGAGCCCATGCCTTTGCCTCCTGTTCATCCAAGCGTGAACACATTCCACACAAAAATGAAACTAAATGATTTGGGATAAAACGCTCTTTCATATGATGTATGATAATTTACTGTTCATAAATGATTTTAAAAATAATTAGCAATTTTCTCGGTGAAAACTTTTTTTGACACGGTATACAATGTACAATGATTGCAACTTTGAAAAAAATCATGACTTTCTTATTTTCTTGTCCGATTTTATTAAAACTGTCACCAGAATGCTTCCTTGATTTGTTTGCTTTCTTCTAGAGTAGTTTGCTATCAAGTTTGAATTCCCTTCACCTTTATCTTATAGCCCGTTATTAAGGAACGAAGTTATTAATCTATAACGCCCGAGTAGTATTTGTTTCGTGTAAACATTGACCTAGCTTGCATGCTATTCAGACGCACTGACGGATGATACAAAGAGGTACAATTTACGGGGAGCATGATGGAGACGATGGCTGAGGTATTTACCTATTTTGATGGATTGAAGTTCAAATTAACGAGCTTGAAAGATTCCTGAGCATATAGAACGATACAGGGGATAAAGAATGAAAAACCTCATTTTCTTTCTTAAGCAAACAACATGACTATTAAATCTTACAAGCACGCAGGACGGACTAGCAAATATCAGGGCGTATCTACTTATTAAGTATGATGACATTTTATAATCTAATTTTCTATTTAGTTTAAACAAAGACATGTAAAGACATGTTACATTCAAATAATAATCAATCATGACTGAACAAATTCAGCCTACTCTAAAGTAAACACATAATTATGTTAGGCACATGGGGAATAGAAAGACGAATAACCAGGGAAATGAAAGAGACGATTGGGGGGGGGGGGGGGGGGGAGAAAAGACAAGATGAAGAGTTGCTATATTTATTTTAAAAAAAGGAAAATTAAATTACATTACCACTTTTAATCGATTTTCAACATTAAACAAACATAAACAAAAGAAAATACAAACCTACAAAAATACGGCACATAGGCCTAACTTCGATTGAGGGACCCCGCTGCGCGTAGTTTTCGCATTAACCATCAGATTACTCCCGCTTTAAAACTTCGAGTAACTTAAGTTTCCCAAACCACGAGAGAGTGCGTTCGCATATGGTCCTTATTATATCCTTTGCAGTTTTAAACCACGAGCTTGCTTTACACTTCCTGACACCTGTGTAACATTTTAAAATGTTATTACGGAAAATGTTCAGTGCTTCTTGGCTTTGAAAATTGTTGTTAGACGCCAATGCTTATCCATCCCTCAAAACCGGATTTTGGCTAAGGAAGTTAGTATGAGGTCCAAGTTTCCATTTGTAAACGTCATCTCAATCCCAGGTCGGGTTTGACTCAATTAGCAGGCGTATTCATTCAATACATGTACGTCATACTACTTATTTCAAATTGCTATACATAACATAATAGTACACAATTATATACACAACTCAATTATTTTGAATGAATCAATCTTATCGTAATAGCCCCCTCCCCCCCCCCCCAGGTAACTAAAACATTCCTCTGAAATAGGATTGAGCTCTTGAAACTATAAATGATTATAAAACATAGCTATACCAAGATAGTGATTAAAAAAAATGCAGTCATTACTTGTTCGTATCAAATCACTTCAGAGATTCATAAATCGTATTATTTGAGAAAACATGTCAAATATGTCATAGGCCTTTTAAAGAACAATTAAAGGGGCAAGTTCCCCGTATTCCAGAGGGCGTTCAAAATACGTACCCGCTGGCGGACGGTGCTAGCTGCCTATTGACACCAACAGAATACGGCCCTAACGCAGATGGCATGTTCCGAATGTCCGCACAATGCCGATTATCGCATACATGTGCCGAAGTCATACCAATCGCAGTTCGGCTCTAAGATTCGGCTGCTGTTTCCACCCACTTTCGTGACGTCACTATCGGCAGCGATCAGCTGGCTTGGCGAAGGCAGGCCAGGCCGCGCGTACTTTGATTGACAGCTGTGTGCAAATGAGAAGTCGATCTTCGGAACCAAGATGGCGATGACTAGAGCAGCGATAACTACATTGACGGGAACGTGCCCCTTTAATGTTTGTAAAGGTCGAATGAGAATATTTCAAAATATCGTTGAAGGTCTAGAAAATAGGGCTACAATTTGCACCAATATACCAATCCGCAAAATATTGAATATGATATTATGGAATATAACCACATGTTTTATACACACACACTCACACGAACACACCCGCACAAACACAACACATCTTGAGCACACCCCACATAGCTTACGTAACTTACTATTTCACAGTTGAAGTTCCTCGTCCGCCGTTGTGATAGTTTGGTGTTACTGCAATTGAATCAAATTGAAGCACGTTCCGATGCATACGTACGCTTCTCAGATCAATTAGAGAACAGAACCGTTATGCGAAATCGACGTCGTTCGCCAATAACGATTAAGCAACAACCAGCAAAAATGAAACATTCGGTTTTATCAAAACAGTTGAGGAATTTTAATTTTTATTCAGATGTTGATGTCACGATTTCGACATCAACTCACTTGTACCAGCACATCTGTTTTGATTCCATCAGTAAATTTAAAAGAAAATGAGATACGTCTCAGTGCGAATAACGACGTCATAATTACGTGACCAGAAACCAAGAAACAAAGAATAATTGCGGTATGAGAACCTTGCAAAATATCATTCCAAGTACATGATTATATCCATAAACACCAACATGGCATAGCAGGCATTCCAGGCAACGAAGAATTAATACAAAACAGAATCAAACACAGCATGGCTTTGCGCGGCCCTGATTAACCAAAGCTCCGCCAAATAGTGAAAATGTCATGTTTTAATATCCAGGTCCGTAGGCCTAAATAGTAATCGTTAGAGCTTGAATTGCTTTTCTGCCTTTCTCCAAGTGCGTTCTGCGAAACTTTGAGGGGCAGGCGGTTTATTAGAGTTAAACGGGGGTAAATATTGGCTCGCCCCCAAGACGGGGAGTTAGGATTCATCATGCATGATGTCAGCAGGCATTGGTGATCAAAGGTTAACAGGCGAACAAACTCATACACAACCAACTGTCTTACATCTAATCAATCTCTCAAGATTCTGAAAGAAATGACGGGCAATTTCATGACCGTCTACTCATGCATTGCATATAGACAACGTTTTTGGATTGTCATGAAATATGTCAATGCTACTTTCATGATCACGCATTTAAAAAAAGGTGATACACAAGGCTATTAATGGAGGTGTAGCTTGGCAAATACTGATTAACGCAATCCACAGCTTCTTTTGGACAACTGCATATACACGAATGGACTTAAAGATGAAGTTAAGTTCTGGTCATGCGATTGCATTGTGAAAGAAACGGTGTGGAATCGACCAGAAAAGGTTGATCATCTAGCATATAAGAATTTGTGTGTATTGCAAGGTTCTGGAATCATCAAAATGATAATAAATTTGGCCAAGTCTTGGTAAAGTTACAAACACTGTACACAGAAAGATGTATATGGGACTACATGAACACGTGGCGTAAAAATCCTACCCCGGAGTTTTACGATGTTACATGACATAGTTAAAATATGAAGGCATTTGAAGAGCCATGCTTTTCAGGGAACATGTCTTATCTGATGTTCTTCCACACTTGCATAATAAGAATGATAACGCTCACAAATTATTGTTCACCCAGAACTCAACCTTCTCTTTAATTAACGGTCAGCGCGCGCAAGCGTTCGTGAAACAGACCGAAGTTCTGCTCACGCTTCGGTTTCGCGTATGTTGCACGCACGTGAATACTGTGGTCGCGTCGTCGGTATTATACCCGATTGGTCCCGAGTCAGGCCACGGAAAGACACGTAGGTCTCGTCATGCTACACCCCCTTTCAAATTGCTTTTGATAGATTTTTCGGAAAGTCTTTGCGATCGTGTAATATTATACTCATACTTAGCCTTCTTTACTAGTATTTGGGCCAATAGGTTCCATTTGGTCACAACATTTTGGTCACAACAGCGTATTTTCTGTTATTTTGAGCTTGTCCAATACAAAAGCGGTATTCGCCATATTTGCCCAATTCGCACCTGGTTGGCCAAACTCTCCTAAGAAGAAGAAGAAGAAGAAGAAGAAGAAGAAGAAGAAGAAGATGAAGAAGAAGGAGAAGAAGAAGAAGAAAAGAAGAAGAAGAAGAAGAAGGAAAGAAGAAGGAGAAGAGGAAGAGGAGGAGGAGTAGGAGGAGGAGGAGGACGAAGAGAGGAAGAAGAAGAAATAATAATACTATTAAGAAGAAGATGAGGAAGAGGAGAAGAAGAAGAGAAGAAGAGGAAGAGGAGAAGAAGAAGAAGAAGAAGAAGAAGTTAGAAGAGAAGTAGAGAAAGAAGAAGAAGAAGAAGAGAAGAAGAGAAGAAGAAGAAGAGTAGGAGGAGGACGAGGAGAAGAAAGAGAAGAGGCTAGAGGAGTAACAAGAAGGGTGGAGCCGCATACGCCCCCAACCCTCAATCCCCGTTTGAAGGCTAACACAAAATACAACCTGCCATAAAATTATGTCAACTTTATCCAGGGCCTCCCAGATATAATCCGCCTCCTATTCGGGGAAGGATTCGCCCAATTTTGATGTCTTCCTGGTTATTGCGCTGTGTAAACCTCTTCCCCTCATAATCTATCGTCTGAGTATGTGACATTAATGACATTGTTAATGAGTAGAGTTTAATCCTGAGTTTAGATTTCGCGACATCCCCGTTTACTCAAGAGAGCAATAACTTTTATGCTTGCTTCGACCTCATCCCTCGAGAGGGATTTTCCCCTTTTTTTCTTCTTGGAGGTTTTACTGTTCAAAAGCCTGCCATTCTTTAACCATGACTTTAAATTACAAAATTGTGCGTATAAAAGTTGTCGCAATTTGTTTTTCTTCTGATGATACCATAATATATTTCTATTTGGTGGATAGGAGCAATAAAGAAAAAATATCTTGCTCAAGAACAATAAGAGCCGTACCGGAGCTCGAATCCACGACCTATGTATTTCTAGTCGGGCGATTAATTCACTCGACTACGAAACCTCTACAAAAAAAAAAATCACTGTAATTAGCATGAGTACATAACGAGAGGAAGCATGTGAGGTATGGCTCGCTTTTATACAAAGATGCATCAGTCAAAACGGTCGTTTTTATCATTCGTATGACATTTTCCCGCACAGAATACAGCTCTACAAAAATATGTATGGTAATACCAACATAGACGACACACCTCGTTTTAATAGGCGACCAGCGCCGGATCGGATCCAATATATCATTTCCATGCCCCTCAAGGGGGGTTGATGGCAGAAATGAGCATACAACATGAAAACAAACAAAATATACGTCACATCTTGTTATGATTTCAATCACCTGATTCGATTAAGATAAATGGCCATGGTGAAAGAAATACTCCCATCTGACCTAAATTATTCCAGGTCTCCAGGATTTGAAGTTTAAAACATCTTCAAGCGATTGCTATGGCTCTGCATGCCTTGGGGATTATATGTCACTGTCTGTGACAGGATTTTGATATTCATATTTAAACAATTTCTGCAATGAATCAAACATTTTTTTTAAAACGTTTCCTATATTCTAAATAAACGCCTTTAATCATTGAATTGTAGACTTTCGTTTAGATCATAGCAAACGTTCATATACATTGTAACTATGAAGGGCAGTGGAAACGTCTTTGGAGTTATAATCATTTGAATTATAATACAATAAGTCATTACTTCTTCTTCATCACCATAACAATCATAGCAATTATAACGATTTTTTCGCCGTATGTCACTGTCTGAAACAGGTTTTTGATATTTTTTGTATTCGATAATTTCTGTAATGAATAAAACAAAAATCATAATTGTTAACGTTTGCTATATTAAAACAAGATTTAATTATTGAATTGTAGGCTTTTATTTAAACGGTCAGAGTTATAGGGGTAATGGACAAATCCTTGGAATTATAATCATTTGAATTATAATACAATATTTCATTACTTCATCATCATACAAATCATAGGGATTTCATAATGATACAAATGACAAATGATAATGAGACTCGAACAACGGACCATGATTGTGTTGTACATGTTTTGATCTCCAAACTAACGCAAATTACCTTACATTATCATCTCGTATGCTTTACCAAAAAAATGTTTGATATGAAACATCGCATTGAACTGAAATTGAACTCCAAACCAGTCTGAATGACTCTAGCTTCCCTTGGATTATTTTCTTCATTGACATGAAGTCTCAGAAAGACTGGAGAGAAAGAAATTACAGAGCACGGAAGTCGAAGAGCTCTCATCCAATTTGTTGGCGGTTTAAACAGGTGACTGCCCTGAGTCTGTATACCCGCATATATCACGATCAATAACCCACTTCGTATCATTATGTCATTATAAATCATTGATGTTGGAAAGAAAGTGTTGATAAAGAAAATGAAGACAAAAAAAAAAAGAAAAAAAAATCACTAGTGAAACTACCAGTGGATGCGTCAGATCAAGAAAACAGACAAATATGTCAGGAGCCTGTCCCGATCGAAATAGCCACCCCTTTCGAAGTTACTGAGAACATCTAACCCATTGCCAGAGTCACCAAAACAGACCCCCCCCCCCCCCCGTTGGGTCACCTTGCCCGTATCTAGATGATGTACCGGTCAGAAGGATGTAGTATGGCTGGAATTTACGAGCACAGAAACTGACACAAATTTTAGTCGAAATAAGATGTCAGACAGACCCTTAAAATTGGGAGCAAACAGATTTTCAGAACGAAAAGTTTTTGCCGTAAATTACCACCAAAAACAAAAATGGTCACCTGAAAACATGACACCAATGTGCCCTCACATCCCCCCCCCCCCTCCGTCACATAATAGCGAATAGCGCTCACTGACACCCAGGTACACAGTTTTTTCTTTAAGTTCAAATGTGCTGAAATTCTCGGCAAATGTGTGTCTTAACGATCTCGCTGGCGCGTAAGACGACCGCCAAACAAATGAGGTATAGATAGTTCGTAGGAAAAATTATTTAGCCCCCGGCCCCGGGTTTATAGGATTAAACTAATTTGTAGATATTGCTTACTGATATATTTGTTGGTAATTGGTGGCTAGTTTTGTCGGTAATCGGTGGCCTCTACATCCCCCACCACTGAAAACGGTCTAGCGACGCCCCTGCGCAAGATACGTCACAGGGTTGCCAATTTGTGTTCGATTAATCGTAACTCCTAAATAACAACTTTCTTATTTTCAGCCGGATTTCGCTCAAACAGCACTGACCTATTTTTAATATTTTCTGCTTCAATTAAAACCAACTTAATAACAGGGTGCACTTCCTTTTTAAACAAACCAGCTTCGCTGTCTCAACATGTTCTAGATATAAAGAAAATATGTTTTACATTCTGATCTTCATAACTATGATATTTGGAAGTCTGCCAATCGTTGTTTATCTACTGTCTGCCAGTCGCAAATACAACAGAGAA